AAATAGGACTAAACCAGGACTAAATCAGGACTAAACCACAACTAAAATAGGACTAAACCAGGACTAAAGCAAGACTAAACCAGAACTAAACTAAGACCAAACCAGGACTAAACCAGGATTAAACCAGGACTAAACCCAGAACTAAACATGGACTAAACCAGAACTAAACCAGGATTAAACAAAGACCAAATCAGGACTAAACAGAGGCCAAATCAGGACAAAACCAGGACTAAACCCGAGCCCTCTTTATGCACATCTGTCCCAGTCTTAAGTTACTAAATCTCTTTTGACTTAAGACACAGAAGTGAGGATAACAAAGTTCATATTTCAAAGCCTGATGGGAGCATTTCTTTTAAAGCTAAACAAACATGAATCCTATCACTCATCTTAAAACTAGGGGAAACCACAAGCACATTCTGAACCTCAGACGTACTTGAGCTACTTCTGGGAGGATACAGATCTGATAGAGAGGAAGAACGCACTTTTTATAGAACATAATTTTTCACCACAAAAAGTAGTTTCTTCTTTATCATGGTCTTACTGTAGGTAGTGTTGTCTAGAGATGTAACAGTAACCAAAATATTGTGATATTTTATCATCAAAAGTCTCACAATAATATAATGGGCTGTCACAATATATTGAATTACAAAATTCTTTGCTTAAACGCATGGTTTTATAGTAGCAACAGCTTATAAACATAGGAAACTACATATCCCATGATTCATTTCAGCGCAGACATCATGAAGAGATAAGCTTTTTACTTGAATTCTTGGGATTATGACGGTAATAATTTACATCAAAATCTTGTCAAGGTATTTTAAAAGCAGAAACGAGTCTCATCTACAATTATATCAGCCTCTGCAAAATATTGCATTTTTTTTAAATTCTCTGGCTTTTAATACTGTGGTCCTCTGTGTCTTTCTTTCTTTCTTTCTTCATTTCTTCATTTTTTAATTTCTTTATTTTTAATTTCTTTATTTTATTTTTATTATTATTATTTTTTTTTTAGTACTTCTTTTATGTAATGATTTTATTATTTTTGTTTGTTGATTTTATTATTATTATTTTATTTATTTATTCTATTCATTTCCTTATGGTTGTAACATAATTCTGCTGATTTTTTAATTTATTTTTTTCAAAGTAAAATGTTTTATATTGCTATGTGAAGCACTTTGGAAACTGTTTTGTTTATAAAATGTGTTATACAAATAAAGTTGGAATGGATGGGATAAATATCATACCATGAGATACATATCGTGATAATATCGTACCAAGAGATTTGGATATCGTTACATCCCCAGTGTTGTCACAATACTAAAATTTCAAAGTTGATTTTCATACTAATAATACTGATAATAAAATACCTTTTTCATTAGACAATAATATGTAACTTGTGATGATCAAATATATGAAGCAAGATACATGGAATTTATATTAAAAAAAATTCTACAAAAAGGTGTGATTTGGTTATAAAAGATATTTTAAAAATGCATTTAATTCCATATTGAATAAGATGGTGAGTCCAAACGTTTGACTGGTGCTGTTTTCAGTAAATTTGAACACAAAGTCTCATTCAGTGTTTTATTTTTTCTTTCTACATTTGATATACATACAGAATACATTAAATATATTAGGCTAAATATACGGAATTATTTTGTAAACTAATGATTCCATATGTCTTACACAGTGCATCAAATATATGTATAAGTATGTATAAAATGTAAACATACAGCATTAAAACACAATGAGAGTCCAAACTTTTGTGGTGTATTTTGCTGCCTTTCACGCACTTTGGTTAAAACAGCAGATATGGCTTGATGCAATCTAACCACGACTTCCTGTTTTGTTTGCTCTCCGTTTCCATGGCGTCAGAGGATGATGGGAGAAACCAGTCGACCTTAAGGCTTTCCTTTCAGACACGCGCAGATCATTTTTCAAAGTCGATGGAGAACGCAGATAGATCAAGATTGAACGATCGATAAAGATTGAACAGACCCGGTCTCCCTTCTCTTTACCAGAAAACTGCAGCTCAGTATCACACCGCTGTAGCCTCTAGTCTTTAAAGGCCCATTTTAGGCTATTTTCTGATCTATGTTATAATGTTTTCTCATCACAAACAGACCTGGAGTTGCGTTTTTGTTTGTTTCATGTTGAAGAGTATTGCTGGACCACTGCTACAGGAAATAACAATTTAAGATCAAATATTACAGCTTTTGAAAGTCCTCAAAATGTCGCACATGGAAGCTGAAACCCAGGTCAGATCTGTGGAGAGGTGAGCCCATCAACACTAACAATGTTTTTCCAGGCAAAATAAGTTGAATTCTGGACGACGGAGGGATTACGCAGATACTTTTTTCCAAGACATTTTTGCAAATCCTTGAAAGTGAATAAATGTAGAATAAAGAAACAAGTTTAATGCCATAGTCTGGAACATTAAACTATTTCTACGCAGTGGTAGTACCTACAACAATCACAGTAGTAACGGTAGTAACAGTAGTAGTAACAGCATTAGTAGTAGTAGCAGTAGTAGTAGTAGTAGTAGCAGTAATAGTAGTAGTAGTAGTAGCAGTAGTAGTAGTAGTAGCAGTAGTAGTAGTAGTAGCAGTAATAGTAGTAATAGCAGTAATAGTAGTAGTAGTAGCAGCTGTAGTAGCAGCAGCAGCAGTAGCAGCAGCAGCAGCAGCAGCAGTAGCAGTAGTAGTAGTAGTAGTAGTAGTAGTAGTAGTAGTAGTAGTAGTAGTAGTAGTAGTAGTAGTAGCAGTAGTAATAGTAGCAGTAGTAACAGTAGTACTAACAGCATAGGTAGCAGTAGCTTTCGTAGTAGCAGTAGTAGCAGCAGTAGTAGTAGCAGTAGTAGTAGCAGTAGTACTAGTAGTAGTACTAGTAGTAGTACTAGTAGTAGTAGTAGCAGTCATAGCAGTAGCAGCAGTAGTAACAGTAGTAGTAACAGCATTAGTAGTAGTAGTAGTAGTAGTAGTAGTAGCAGCAGGAGCAGTAACATTAACAGTAGTACTAACAACATTAGTAGTAGTAGTAGTAACAATAGTAGTAACAGTAGTAGTAGTAACAGTAGCAGCAGGAGCAGTAGTACTAACAGCGTAAGTAGCATTAGTAGTAGTAGTAGTAGTAGTAGTAGTAGTAGTAGTAGTAGTAGTCATCATAGCAGATTTACAAAACCTTTGTTAGTGAATAAATGTAGGTTAGATAATCAAGTTTAATGCCATACTCTGGAACATTCAATAATTAAGTTCTGATATTTAAAAATAAGCATACATAACTCCCATTTGAAGCATTAGATGAAATCCTCTCTGGTCTGGGAGTAAGGAAGCAAAAACCGCCAAGAACCGGTCTATTTTCGTGAGTAAACATTTCGAAGCGGCGGCATTTGATGGAGAAATAGAAAAGCGCACATCTGCTGAGCTCTATCTCTTCCTGTGCTCTGCTGAACCAGGCGTGTTCCCATCATGCACCGCTCCGATTCTTATCTCTGTAATTGGCTCGAGACGTGGAGGGGCGGGGCTGAAAAAAAAAAAAAAAAAAGCCACCCGCCCCCTCCTGAGATAGGACGCACCGAGGACCCCGGTCTGTGAGGGGTTCCACATAGCGAAGGGTTGAATGATTAAAAATGAGCACTGTTATAGTCATAGTAATTAACAATTCAAAATAAAAAAAAACTAACTTTTGAATGGCAACAAGTCCACAAAATGTCACCCATATAAGAGAAAATATTTTCAGTCCCTACACTGGTATCGGTTTATATCGGATAGTATCGAAACTGAAAAAGCTGTATTCATTCATAATAAACAACTGGATTTCAGCTTTGGAACTGGCAACTCAAATGAGAGATTCATGTGAGGCTCATTCTGCTTTCTGATTGGATAAAACCTAGCCTGATTCATCAACCGGTTTCACTTCGTGGAAACCGTCTGACCTCGCAGCATTAGGATTCGTTCGCTCGACGGTAGGCAGGTACTTTTTTTATTTAACCAGTCGCTGCTATTTGGTCGTGACGTCTGTAATGCGCCAAATCCCGTAGGAAGAAGGACAATAACGTCTTTCCCCTTGATAAAATTCACCAAACATTCTTTTTGTTCCGGCTTTAAATCCTCAATCTTGGGAATCTTTGCCATCACAGAATGTATATCTTCATCTACATCCCACTGTGGGACTAATAAAGGCATATCTTATCTTATCTTATCTTACATACATCTCAACCTCTTTGTTTACTGTTGTGCTGTACGACAAAAAGGACCCAGACAGGTGCATGAGTTTGACGTCATGGCTTTGTAGCTCTTCGCTGATTGGCCAGTACACAGTCTACAACTTCCGGGGTTCTTATAAACCGTCTAGTGTATTCCGATTCCCGATCTAGTCGCTGAAGAGGAAATGAAATTGAGCGGAGCCTGGCTAGATAAAACCAACCTTGAAAACCAAAACAGTAAATTGACCACTGTGTCCAATGTTTTTGCAATTAAGTCTACAACAATTTTCAACACGTTTACGTCGTATTTGTGAACAGAGGTGGGTCACGTTAATGGAATTTAAAATGTCAATCTTGCATACTCTCCCTTTAAGAACGAAGAATGGCTTTTCAATGGGCCAAATGCATCAGAGGAAAAGCTGGCAGCAAAATCAATGGAAACCAATATAAGGGTCACGCCGAGTGAGCAGGGGGCCGAGTTATGTCTGAGGACGTGGAGACAAATGTCTTAAGAGTGAAAGATTATAGAAGATTAAATGCATTATAAAAGGAAGAAAACTATCGCCTCAAACCTTTCTTTTTAGCTTCATTTTTCTTTTTAGTAACATTAAGGTGAACACAGGTGAATATAGTTTAGGTCTGTTCCACCTTGTGATGTCATGTTGTAAAATGTGAAGTGCTCCACTGTGTTTTTAAACTCCAGACACCTTCACTAGAATAATTTGGATAGTATCAGCCCTGGAATTATCAATCTCCAGTGAACATTATTGTATTCAGAAGTAGATTTTACTAGGCTTACCGGCCACGTTGACTTTCTCTGGGTTGGTAGCGCTGGGCGTGGCTGTGCTGGTTCCGTTGGTCAGGTTTCCTCCGGTTCCATTGTAGATGTTTTCAACCTTGGACTCGAGTTTACCCAACCTCTGCATAATGTTATCCAAGAGCACGGCCAGGGTCTTCTTCAAGTCTACAACAATATAACAGGGGAATCAGAATCAGGACTAAACCAGGACTGAACCAGGACTAAACTAGGACTGAACCAGGAATGAACCAGGACTAAACCAGGATTGAACCAGAGTAAAACCAGGACTTAGCCAGGACTGAACCAAGACTAAACCAGGACTGAACCAAGACTAAACTAGGACTGAACCAGAAATGAACCAGGACTAAACCAGGACTAAACAAGGGCTACACCTAAAACTGAACTCTGGATTACACCAGAACTGAACAAGGACTGAACCAGGGTAAAACCAGGACTGAACCAGGACTAAACCAAGAATAATACAGACCTAAACCAGGAATAAACAAGGACTGAATCAGGACTAAACAAGGGCTATACCTAAGACTGAACTTTTGACCACATCAGGACTGAACCAGGATTAAACCAGGACTAAACCAGAACTAAACCAAGACTAAACCAAGAATAGCATAGACCTAAACCAGAACTAAACCAGGACTAAACCACGACTGAACCAGGACTGAACCACGACTGAGCCAGGACTTTTATGTGTTTGATAAAATGTATTGCCCAACAAGAGTAGTCATCACTAACATAATTACAGGTACATCAGAACATATGATAATACAGCATATTTTTAATAATTCACTTCACACTTTTTAGCAGCATTCACATTTTAAAAGTTTAGTAATCCAATTTACAAATTTTTCATATGTTCCAATCTACTTTTACACATTACGCAATTGATAAAATGTATTTCCCAAGCTTATAGTTTCCCTGTTTAATCTGCAGGATCTGTACTGTACCCAGTTGTTTCTTGGGGCATTACGGAACAATCAATTCTAATCTCAAGTTTCTAATGAAGCCTCGAATTGACCCAAACACGGCTCTATTAAAGACAAGAATACATTATCGGTGCATCTTCAACCTGCACAACAGTCACACGTACACACACATACACACACATACACACAAATACACACACACACACATACACACACATATACACAGCATTTTCGACCAGGGCAGCTGTTTCTCCTCTGGTCTCTGCTCTGTATTGAGTTACGTGGAATTTCCCTCTGCTCAAACACTATTGATTGTTTCAAACTAATCCATATTTGAGACTTGTTACTCAGCAAAAAAAATGTATAATTTTGTCCAACCATACCACAACTAAAAATCTGAAATTATGATGGAGATTATTTGTGTACCTATGTTTTTTGTATGTACTGATGTGGAGATTGGGGTGGGGTGTGGGACAGTTTTTGTGTTGTTTTTGTTTATTTTTATTTTCGTTCGTGCTTAATTTCAAACTTTCAAATATATATGTATAAGACGGAGGTTAGTAATAACACATTTTGACCTGTCCGTGTTTGTAAATGATTATTAAACAGTAGGTAGGTAGGTATTTTTTTAGCAAATGATTAGTTAAGGGTGCATTGTGTAACTTTCCTGGTCCCCCAAATGCTTTTATTCATGGGAATGTTATTGCTTTGTCTGGAATGTTTCACAGTATGGCATTAAACCTTCAGTCTGAATGTCTGTTTTTCTAGGTATTTTTGAGCTATAAAATCATAAATGTAAGTTAGAGCTGTTTAATGTCATACAGTGGAACATTCAAAGCAGAGCAACGATATATCCACAGCCAAAATGTTTACACGTTGCACCTTCAATCTATAGCGAGTGTTTAGAAAGTTAACATTGGTAGATATTTTCAGTCATAAAAACACCTGTAATTGGACAAATACAGACAGATATAGATAGAGAAGTTCATCAGACCCACCATATGCCGTCATGCTCCCTACGTACGGTCCATCCATCACACTCTGATTCTCCTCGGCCAGGGCTTTAATATAACGTTTGCTCAGGTCCAGTATCTGCTGTTGGAGCTCGGCGCTGCTCTCGTGAGTCACCCTCTGCTGGATGGTGAAGTGGAGCAGCATCATGCCCCAGATGAAGCCGAAGATCACCAGGAAGAAGCCCAATTTCTGGGACGAGAGCTTCCACAGAAACGGGGTGGCCATGGTTCTTCTCGCTGAGCAGAGATCAGGAGTTTAGAAGGTGCATGGTCTGAATTTTTTGTTTGGTTTTCTCCTCGAACGCATTCTCGACCACGCACGCCAGTCCAACCTGAAAGACAAGAAGAAGAATGGCATTTACAAAACCAGTCCCGTCAGTAGATTGAATTTGAGAGAAAGGGTTAGGGTTGAATGATTTTCACACACACAAATAAAATATCACATTCACAGGACAGAAATAAACATTTCCTGAATCGCTTTAGAATCATCAAATGATTTCTGAATTATACATATTGCGCTGAATGACCCAAATTTGATGAACTACCATTGTAAACATATCATATTGATGCCTAACTTTGTGCACTAATAAATGAATAAAGGTTTATGTTTTATAGGTCTCTAACTGTTTCCCATCTAAGGCTAAAGAGTTCCATATTTGGAATAGGAATTTATTAACGATAAATAACGTAAAATAACATAATAAAAACACCAGGATCGTGTAGAATGAGTTAATAAGAACATTTTAAGACAAAAATTACGAGGCTCGCTGCAGCAATTACAGAGAGAGGGGCAACAATATTCCAATGTAAAGTCAACTGGAGCCGGAAGTCATCCGTGTATCATTCATCATTAAAACGAAAAAACAACTGTTTTCTTCTTTATTTCTCTCCAAAACCAAAATGAAAAAACAGATAATGATTTTGTGTTTAAACGAAAAATGGAAAAAATGGATAACGCCCATTTCCCGTTTCCGTGGCTTACAAACTGAACCAGGACTAAACCAGGTCCAACCAGACCGGAACCAGACCGGTACTGAGACCAGGACTGAGACCGGGACCAGGCCAGAACCAGGCCATGATTGACCAGGACTGAGACCAAACCAGACAGGGACTGATATCGGGACTGAGACCGGGACCAGACTGGGACTGAAAACTGTTTAGTCCTGTTTTAGTCCTGGTTCAGTCCGTATGCGGCGCAGAAGTCCAGCATCACAGTTTAAGTCACGGAAACGGGAAACGGCCATTATCCGTTTTTTCCATTATTCATTTTAACACAAAATCGAGAACTGAAAAAACAAACCGTGATCTATTTTTTCATTTTGGTTTTGGAGACAAATAATGGAAGAAAAAAATCTGTGTTTTTGTTTTCTTATTTTTGGTTCTATATTACAAAACAAATGAACGAATGATACACGGAATGGAAATGCCTCAGTGTTCACTTCCTATTTGGAATGACAATTTACAGTCTACGGTATACACACCCATGGATCATTATGGAACCTACTGGGATGACTGAGGGACTACACAGACCACATGGGAATATAAAAGAAAGTACAACGATTTATCATTATGGTATCAGACTATTGAGTGAGTCTTTTTCTTAGTATCAAAATGGAGTTTGAAGTTTTAGCATCATTAATTATCAACATTAATCCACGCAACTCAATTACAAAGTCCACAGCTGATTCATTCCTTACATGAAAGCTTTGAGATTCATCAGATATCAAACAGGTCTCCACTTGAAATTATCTCCTCCTAACTGGCTACTGTTGTGCAATAAATATACAATACAATCTAAAGATAAGATGAACCTTAACAGCTCTGCGTGTTCATTTAAAGACGCAGTATGCAACTTTCTGGAGGAGGAACATCGCCTTAATATTGTTGTGTGTATGTTTTCGTTGCAATAATAGAGAGATTTAGCCATTGTAATAACGTAAGATTAGAGCTGTAGAAGGTAGAATAAATAATAGATACGTAATGATACTGCATGCCTGTTTTATGGACTAAAAAGTTGCGTAGTGGGGCTTTAAACAGATAATTATTTGAAGCGCTTTCCACTGTTCTGTTCTGTGTGTATTGTGTGAACGGTCGTGTGGTTTTGGCAGAGCGCCCGTGCTCGATAGCAGCAGCACACTTGGTTTCATTGTTAAACAGGTGTCACTTACAATACTGTTATTATCAATTTAAGCACACTTTACTGTCGTACAAAACCACCCGAGCTCAAATATAATACACACTTGACACCGAAATGCACGCTAGCGAGCTCATTGTGTCTCTCAAGTGAGATAACCGTCGCTTTTATTAACATCATAAAAATATAATATAAAATAAACAACCTATTAAAATTCTAATTAATTAAAGTAAAAAGTACCCCAATGTTTTTTTAATTAGAGTACTTCAGATTGCGGCATTGTTTGTTTTAATATTTGTTATGCCTCAAGATTAGCATTAGCGTTAGCATTGAGACATAAACATCTCTCTCTCTAAACACAGCTAAAGTATTCATTTTATTTCTGTACTTTTTAAACTTTTTTTTCAGTGACATCCACCCACAGCTCCCTGTTCACTTCTTTATCTTTAATATTTATTCATTTTACCGCGACTCAGAAAAACCCACGTAGATAAAATTGTTCAGGAAGCAGTGACACTAATATAGCAGTTAGCTATTGATTTCGTGCACAGAGCCAATAGGACAACATCAAAAATCAAATATACCATCAAATATATAATTTAATATGCTTTTTTCCCTAATATACAAGTTAAAATCTGACCATAAAGAACGGATTTACTTGGAATTACAACTGTTGAGCTGATAAGTGCGGTTAAATAAATCCCTTGCAAATAGCATTACAGTTACAAGCTAGCTAGCATTAGCAAACAGTTTTTTTCAGTTAGTCACTCTCACCTTTTATTTTGTTGAAAATCAAACTCCTAAACAGGGTTATAAACGCTCGTATTGATCACAGGTTCCTGAAAATGTGCTGTTTGAATAACTTTTGTATTTTTTGCTTGAGTTTTCAGACGATCTTAAAACTTTTTGACAGTGTTCGCTAATATGTGCACTGTGTTACCATGGTAATTAAAATTTTCAGTAATTCTTAGCTTAGTTATGGATAGAGCTGACTAAACATAACCATAATGACTATCTAGTTGCAATTGTACTTTATGTATTGATTATTTATTATTATTTTTAGAGCAGGATCTATTCATGAACTCGCCTTTATGTAACAGATAATACTCCCTACAGCTGTACAACACTCAACCTTATGTAACAGATAACCTTGTACATTATACATTTATATAATTATGTCTTATTTGACTCTGTCTCTGCAATTTTTTGGGGGGGTGGGGGGGTGGGGTGTAACAATATCTAAGTCTCAAAATATGATATCGTGATGATATGAAACTCATGGTACGATATTTATTGTGATATCGTGGGAAAGCTCACGATTAGGGATGTAACAATATCCATATCTCTCGGTTTTCAAGATATACATCTCACAGTGCGATATTTATTGCGATATTTTGTGGAGGCTAACAAAACTGTTAATATTTTTCCTCTTAAAGAGCCTTGAGAAGACTTAATCCAAAGAACTACAACTTAAAAGTGCTTATAACTGTTATTTCTTCTTGTAGTCTGCACTGAAACGGAGCAAAAGGATCATGGTCTATGTAGTTCCCTCTGTCTTTTTTTTTTTTTTTTTTAGCTATTTCTGCACCATAACTCTTAATTTAAGCAAAGAAGACTTGTAATTCGATATATTGTGATGGTCCACGATATTATTGTGAGAACTTTGACAATACAATTACATCCCTAATTATTATCGTTTATATTTTTTACTCTTTCTTATTATAATATATTGTGATGAGTAAGCTACTGTGTCCAGATAATTTCCTTTGTGGATCAATAAAGTTTGTCTAAAGTGATTTCTTGGATAAGTCTTTCCATACTGGCCTTACGAGACTATGCGTGCCAGTAGGCCATTGGATCATGACGTAAATAGATTATAGAAATGGTGAATGGATTTAGCCTGAACAATGACGGGTATAATTGTCTCCATAATCGTGTAGTGGCTTTAATATCTTTCAGTGCAGATAGCCTTTGCCCCGGTTCTGAGCCGAGAAGGCCAGATGGTCCAGAAGAGACTCTAGACCTGGAGTGGCAATAAAATAATATGGGATAAGGTGCAATATTAAAGGGCCCGTATTACGCTATTTCCTGGTTTATGTTTTAATATTGTTTCCTCATCACAAACCTACCTGGAGTTGTGTTTTGTTTCATTCACACATTTAATTTCATGCTGAAGCCTAAACATTTGCAGTAATAAATTCTGCAGTTACCATTTATTTATGATGTGCTTGTGAATAAAAACAGTAGCAGCCACATCCTCTCACTGTTTCAGAACCTCTGCACAGTTCACGCCAGTGTTTCTGTCAAACAAATGCCTTGTTTAGACTAATAGGTTTGTCTTGCATTTTGTTACCTTGTTTAAGCAGTAATATTAGACTTAGACAAACTTTACTGATCCACAAGGGAAATTATTTGGACACAGCAGCTCACACATCACAATATCATATAATAACAAAGAGCAAAAATATAAATGGTAAGAGTAAATGAATTCTAAATAAGTAGTAAAAATATCAGGAGACTGGTGTCAAATAAGGCATAATAATATAAATTAGGGACAATAACCAAAATATTGTGATATTGTATCGTATATATATGTATAGTCGCACAATAATATCGTGGGCTGTCTCAATATATCGAATTACAAGTTGCTTTGTTTAAATGCATGGTTTTATAGTAGCAACAGCTTATAAACATAGGAACTACATATCCCATGATTCATTTCAGTGCAAACAACATGAAGAAATATGTTTTTAACTTGAATTCTTGGGATTATGATGGAAATAATTCACACCAAAATCTTGTCAAGGTATTTTAAAAGCAAAAAAGTTTCCTATCTAAATTAAATGAGCCTCTCCAAAATATCACAATAAATATCATATAGTGAGATGTGTGGTCTAGTCTCTGGTCTAGTCCCCAGGTCTAGTCCCTGGTCTAGCCCCTTCTATAGTCTCGGTTCCAGTCTTGGGTCCAGTCTCGGGTCCAGTCCCCGGTCTAGTCCTGGGTCTAGTTTCTAGTCTAGTCCCTGGTCTAGCTTCGAGTCTAGTTTTGGGTCTAGTCTCCGGTGTAGTTTCTTCTATAATCTCCGGTCTAGTCTCTGGTCTAGTCCCTTCTATAGTCTCGGGTCAAGTCTCGGGTCCAGTCTCGGGTCCAGTCTCGGGTCCAGTCTCGGGTCCAGTCTCGGGTCCAGTCTCGGGTCCA